CAATCGAACAAAGTCCTTCACACATCGCTATTAATCATGAATTGAAATGGCGCCTTACAGCGATTAAAATTTGTGAACTTAGAAAAATGCAGTGCCTTCCCGTGTTTGGTAACACGCGATATTTGTCTTTTTTGCATTCTATAAAATGTATCGAACGCTTTGTTCAATTGGAGGATATACTAGGTCCATGTGGTATTTCATGAAAAAATGTTCAGAAAGCACTACCCAACGAATAATTTTGACTGCAGACTAGTTTATACAGCCAACAATTGCCTTATGCAGCTTATTTGTACCTGTATAGGCTGGTCTGCAGCTAGAATTGTTTGTAAAGTAGTACATATCTGGGGAAAGTAATAGTCGAGTTGACAAAACCATGTAGACCCTTAACCTGTTTTTTTATTTAATTATTGGAAAATCAGGGAATATCACGTAATTTGGTTTTCTTCATTGAGTCGACACCCTGAGTTGATTAAGGTTAGTTTTGGTGGTAGATAGACTCAGATCTCCATGTACAGTCCGGTATCCATTTTTTCGCATATCAAGCTTATTGCTTATTGCATATTAGCTTATTGCGTGCTCTCAACTTAGTGTTCTAAATGCACTTCCACAGTTATTAATTGAGAGCTTTCGATGCCAATACCAATGCATGAATTTGTATATTGTGTGGCAAGCACAATTGTACTCTATGGCCAGGGAAGTCGAGAAAATTTCCAACCCGAAAGATTCTCTTGACCGGACTTGGCATTACCGTGCCTTTACTGACTAGGCTATAAGGCCCCGGTATCTTTTATGAAGCATATTTATGCCGTTTCAGTTGACGAGTAATTGGCCAGAGCATTTCGAATACTCGTCGGGATTCAGAATGTCCCGGATGTCTTGAAAACAGGGGCAGTTGACAATGATTCAACTGTCATCCTCGTACTGCAGGGTTCACATATCTTCCTGCAAGACGATGCTCCTACCATATTGTGGGTGGAACGTGTATGTCCGCATCGGAGGACAGATTTGGCTAAATTTTTGGTATCTGAACCGGGAACATAATTTGTGACCAACTGACCAAATCGGCCAGTGGCTGCAAGGTGGTCAGCTTCGGTATTGCTTTGGATGCCGCAGTGACCCGGAATCCAGACAAAGACAGTATCTTGGGGAGCCCACCTTTGAATGCCTTGTATCCACGGATGTTTGGCTATCGGAGATTTCACAAACAATGTTTGGGTAAAGAAGAGTTGTACTATAATACACCATCGCCTGGAAATGCTTTCGGCAGCGTGGGGCGTTAGGTAGTGATAAACGTCGCTAGGACTATTCCACAGCCGCACACATTATATTAGCAAGTCAAACACGCACTCTTTTGTCTATAGATTTGAGGAAATATGACAAAACCCCTCACCCATCTAGTGAGCTACGCAAGGGAGTGCGCACTTGAACAGTGTTGCCGCATTAATGGCCCATCGCTCAATTTCAACTTCTGTTCAATTTTCACACTGCTGTACTGCCTATAATCGCATATCAGTCCCATATGGATTTTCTTCAATTTTAAGATAATAACTCTATCCACTATCAATTGGCATCTACTTTCATATTACGTGATAAAACTACGGACTTTGATCATGAAAAATGTGAAAACAACATCAAGTCAGTTTGTCCCATCAAGCAAAGTAATCGCATATCAGTCCCATCCTGAAATTCAATCGTCCAGAGGTCTAGCCACATTTCTGTTTTTTAAATCGCCATATTTTTCGTTAATATAACAATACATGCAAGCTTCATTGCAACTGATTTTAACTGGACAAAATTGTCGATTAATTTACTATGATTGTTTTAATATTCACATGGAAATTGCACTTCTTAACTTCAGCTGCCATTTTCTCAATGCCTACTTTTTCCATATGGGACTGATATAACCCGGCAGTGTACTCTAACAAAACTATGAATCTTAAGACCTTTCCAAGCTAATCAATTATCGCACTAACAGCTTCATTTTGATATTAGTATAGCATTTCCTCCCAACTCTAGAACCTGTTAACTTCACGAATGAAGTAACAAAACATTTTGTTGAATGGGATTGATGTCAACTTATCGGCAGATGTCAAACTGCCTCCTCCCATAACGGTTTCAAGTAGTGAACAAAGATCTTTTATTTAAAGAGTTGACCCATCGGTCAGCTGGTTCTCCAAGCTCTTGAACAAGGAGAAATGCTACTCAAACCAATGTTATAAGTTCTTCGGCAGATTTCTTGTACACCACTAGAGCGTTGAACAACATCTTGAGCTGGACGAACTCCCGGTTGTTCAAGAAGCAAAGTTTGAATGCCTTCCGCCCTACAAAAAAGGGCGATTTCTAGCTGACTGCGATTGGATTGAAGATGCGCACTGCTTCTCCTTGGACGAGTCCATTATTGCTCATACCATAAATTTTTAGGCTACTGTGAGGATCGTAGTTGACAGGTATTTTTTCCTCAATCATCGTCTCAGTGAATGATCTGTCAAATTGCAATAAAACACAACAATATCCCCTCATTACGCAGGTAAGTATTAAAACATTTTGACTCGAGAATTATCATAAAATTAAAATAATCCTGTATTTTACATCAGGAATATTGATTATCTGTACCACCATGTCTGATATCTTGCTGCAAGATTCGCAGAAGCGGGCATCGGGTGAATACAACATATCATGCACTTTACGGATACTTTTTCCTTGGTCTATCTATGCAAGCTAAGCTTGCAATCATCTATCGGAAGCATAAGTCAACCATTTCCAAATGGATTTCCACGTTTGAACAGAACGGATTTTTTTTCCCGAAAGGAATACGAACCCGTCGTGAAAAAATTTGGTGCAGATAAGCGGACATGGCTAGTTGAATTGTATCGCTGCAAACCGACTCTATATCTGGACGAAGCAAAGCGGTTGTTTGAAGACACGTTCCGGAACGCCATTTCCGCATCATCAATTTGTCGAATCCTTCGCCAGGAATCCAGCTGGAAAGCACTCGAAAGACGAGCCATTCAAATACGTAGCAAAGACGTCGTCCGGTTTGCCTCAGAAATGAGTGAAATCAAATGGGATTATCAAAATTTAATCATCCTGGATGAAGTTAGTTTTGATAATAGGTCAATGCTTAGATCTAGAGGATACGGAGTAAGAGGTTTTGTCAGTGTTTGTCAGAAAACCCTAAATGTCACTGTTATGCTTCATTGGACAGGAAGGGTTAACTGAAGCATTCTCGACTTTTAACAGAGCAAAATTTCTCGAATGCTGTAGAAAATTTGCTTTGGTATCTGGACCTGTTCTGTGCCACCCTGGGTTCCATTCTGTTTGGCTTCTTGATGGTGCGACGCTGCGATAATATCCTATCTCTGGTCATTGGGCATTTATGCAATATTCCTGCCATCATACTGCCCTTTTTTCAATCTGATAGAATTTGTATTTGGGATGATCAAACGAAAACTGAAGAGGACGTATCAAGATTTAAGAGAATAATAATACAAATATTGATCTTGCACTGACGAAAGCATTAACAGACTTCTCGAGTTTCCTGAAACTCCCCAGTTACCTGCATCTTTTCCTGAACTCTTACCCTTAAACTCACGAACCGATACCAGCAGCTAACAGCCAAACAAGCCACTAGGCAGCATAGATTGAGCGTAGCCACGATTTTCACCGGTTAAATTCAACTCATAATCTACAATCACGGCCGAGTCATCATCACAATCAGAGATCAAGCGTTCTTCTCTTCCTTGGCCATCTTCGGAATATTCCATCTCATCATCGGGGTTGGAAAGACGCGACAGATTTTCTGCTTCCGGATTTTCCGAAGCTTCCAAGCGACGCCGTTTTTGGTTTTTCTCCATACTCTTGCAATCTGTGCAATTGCGGAAATCGTTTGATTAATTATTCCACAACTGATATTTGAAAATACCCACCTATCGATGAATGTATACTGGTACAACAAACTTTTATTCCGAAATGAAGCGGATAGGAAAACAGTGGAACAGAACAATTGAATACAATCTGACAAGCGCGTGGAAAATAATCAAAACAAATCAAGAAAAACGATCCAAGCATGCACGCTTCTAGGTGAGGTGAGGGATCGTGATTGAGATCAGGAGTCTACTAAGGTGCAAAATGCGCAATACATTGATGCATCTTCTCGACCAAGCCGATGTCTCTACGGAAACCTACAACTAATTGCTCTCCAAACATCCACTAAAACTTCTGAAGATCCAGCTCAGGACACCGAATTTGAAACATTTCCAACTAACTATGTTCACCATAGGTTATTTATCCTACCCTTGTCACTCGGATCGAGACCGTTAAATCCCGCACTGGGAAAATTAGCCTACCACAAACTCCCTCCACCTGCCTTCCAAAATCCAGACATAAATCACCCACCCCAAAAGGGACATTCCACTGACAATCATGAGAACGGCCGCCACGCCGCACGCGAAATGATCGCACCGCGTGAAAAACAAACGAACCGTACACGAACCGGTTTCGGGGGGTGACGAGAGTGGACCAAAAAAGCGAAAAGACCGACCAACAATGTCAAACAGCTGATCGGGTTCTCACAATTAATTTTCATAATGGATTGTCTTGGAGGCGAACAAACTCAACCAAGCAGCAAGTGTGCTCAGCAAGGGTCAGGAGATAAAGAGGAGGGGGGATGCTAATGTTGTCGGATCATCCTTTTCGCCTATTTGGAGGGTTTCGGGGTTTGGGAGAAGTAGATGATGATGATGATGATGATGATGAGGGCAGATTGTGTGCCGGGATCGGGTTTTTCCTGAAGGGTCTAGACACTGTGGGATGTTTACCCTACTGCGGACAATTAAGCTTTTCAGCGGGCTAAGACTAATGACCCGTGATCTGTGGAAAAGATGAAGTGGAAAAACTTCTCCACCGAAAAAAAAAATAATGTGGGAATGATTTAGCTACTTCACCTGTGTTCGGCTTCAGTTCATTAAACGGTTGTCTTACGGTTTGCAGCAATTACTCACCGGAGATGCCATCGTAGGTCCACCACTCTTCCCAACTGACGGCCGAGATTGCTGTAAAAATGAGAGAGAAAATGAAAGAATCGATTATTTGGTGTTTACTTGATTTCAGGCCGAACTTTATATTGAAACTAAATCAGAAAGTGAGTACCTAGTTTTCCGTCAGTCAAGTCAATCAATCATCTGGAGTGCTCCCGGGGCAGTGCAAATTTAAACCACAACTGATTGGCATGATTTTGAGTGGTTTTAAAAACAAATCCCTCTATTGGGCGAAAAATGGTACGAAAATAAATTCTCAAAACTGACAAACTTTTCGGTTCGAGTTTTGTTTTCCCACATGTAGGAAGTAACCGTACGTGGTTCGGTGCTTGGTTACTCAATGGCTTTTGCCTATGGCTTACAAATACCTACTTACAGACGGTGTGAGAAGATGGATTGCAGTTTTCAACCTGGATTTTATGATATTCCTGCGATTACCTGAAGAGCCCAGGGGGGAAAGAAGGGCGAGGGCTGTTCGCTCATTTTGCTATTAGTGGGTTTTTTTTACGACTTTATGATTGGTAGTAAATTTAACTAGCTCTGGAGCGATCGATTGAGCTGCAGTCGAAGGACGGAACGAATGTATATGGAAAGGCACATACATGAGTAGGATTTTTTTTTTTCGCGTTATAAACAGAGAAGAAAAATAACATCATAGATGATTGAGAATTGCAGTTCGCGCATACTGCTCATAGTTTTACGACAGTTTCAGTACCTTCACTTTATCGGTTCACAATAAGGTTTTCTCTGCTCAACTGCATCTACAGTTGAAACGAATAACGATCAGATTAAAAGAAAAGGCCTGCGCCTTTCGTTAGGCTTAAACGTGCACGAACCAATAAAGTACAATCGGTATTATTAATTGTGGATGAAAATCGTTCGATGGGTGACACTAAATCGGCGAAATATGAAGAAAATATAGTTAAGTGAAAATCAAATCAAGAATACGGAAATAGATAGGTATTACATATTGAAAAGGGAGCCCACAGGCTTCCTGGCAGGAATGAAAAAAGTACTCAGTATTTCCAGAATGAGACAGTCAAATAAGTTTTCGAAGAATTTTATAAAGTGGAATTGTGGGCTAATTTGGTAGAGAGTTAAAAGTAATTAAAATAGAGTCAAATGATGATTATTTTCTATAATGAAATTATTAATTATGCAGGGATTATTACAATCAAAAAGTTTTCATTACAAAGAAAAAAACGAAAGCCGTGTGCGATTTATGGAAAATGTCAAAAGTATGATAATTAAATATTCTATAAAAATGTTAAAGCATCCTAATGAAAGCTTTTTAATTGATAGGAAAAGAATAGTAAAGTGAGTCGTTGAAAATAGTAAAAGTAGTGAAGAAAAGAAAAACAAGCTAGTGGAAGGTAATTTAAGTGTGCAGATGATGACTGTTCCATAACTGTAAGGCAGCTTTTTCCACAAGCGAAGGTTCGTAACTTCCGGACAGATTCTTCCAGTGCCTCGTCTACCAACGACCAAGCGTCGAGCCCTGCCCCACATTCATACGGGGTGCTACTGCCTACGGGTCGGTCATTTTAGTACTTCCGCAACGGAACCCCAGGCGTCGGTAATCACCAACACCGACATACTCGTGGACAACATCATCAGAACGAACAGACAGCCATTCGAGCGCGTCCTCAACGAATACCAGGCGTAGGTAATTTCTCCACCGACCTAGGGGTGCATCATCACCGGGACGACCAGAAGGCCTCTCGACTGCGTGATCAGGCGTGGCTTCTTACACACGTGGCTTCGCTAAGACAATCGTCCAGACCCGAGGGAATAGTCGACTTCTCCCAATAAGTACTGGGACTTGTATGGGCATCCCTATAAAGTCCTGTGAATTTCTCATCGAAGTCCATACCAATTGAAACCATTGACTGGCAATGATACGTAAGGGAATACGTAGGAGAAAAAGATTAAGAAGACCCTTGGCAAGACCGGGATTCAAACCTGGCCAAAATACAAAACCCATCACCCACACCCCCAACCTTGTGAAGCAAAACAAAAATCCTCCGCACCTGGCACAATATTGTCGTCGTTCAGAGGATTTTTGTCCATTCAGTTCGCCGATCTCATTCCGCACCGTACCGTCGTATTGGACGATCTTAAAGGCATTTGACCAACTGCTGCTGGAGGGAACCCATTTTGGCCATCTTGACTATCGTATCGAGCCTCTCGACCTGGACCTGGAAGCAAGGTTGCAAAGACTCATTTCAGCTAAAATAATGTTTTTCGGAATAATAAAACCAAAAGATGGTATGATGGCATGTTTTACTTGTAACTTACAAGAAGAGGTTACAAAGTATGCGTTGGAAACATAAAACCTGTAAATTTTGCTTTCTATGAGTCACAATCAGCGATTTGCTGATCGCTGAGTGAGTGAGTGAGTGAGTGAGTGAGTTTGTGAAAAATCGCTGATTGTGACTCTCATGAAGTGAAATAAACAGGTTTAATATGTCAAACACATTCTTTGCAACCTCTTCTTGTATCCTACAAATTCAAAATTTGATCATGGAATCTAATTATTTCATAATTTAGAAAAACATTGTTTTAGCTGAAATGAGTCTTTGCAACCTTGCCTGGAAGAACTCTGTTGGCGTGAAGCTATTCTGGACGAAAACTCGAGCCGCTGGGATTTTCGCTACGAATCGGATGAGATAACTTAGTTTCATGGTGCAGACGGGTGCAGGCAATACTGACAGCATTTTTCCTTGGAATCCAAACCCAATGTGAAGTCCAATGGAGTTAACAAAGAAGTTAACCTTAGCAACGATTGGCAAAACGTCAACTCTCGACAGTGATGCCGTTTTAAATTATGTTGATTGTATCCTACTAGTCAACGTTTGTCCTAAAGTGTCGAATAGTGTCCCATGCTGTGTTTCGGCACAGAGTTGATTACCCCTTGTTTGATTGAGCTATATTTCGAGTCTGTTATGACTTAAATTTTGACTAATTGTGCATCAATATTGGTATTTTTTTTAATCAGGGTGACGTCTAGAGACCAGAAATCGATATCCGACGACAGTTTGAAATCCAAAAGGGCTGCTTCCGTTTTCAGAAAAAGTAGGAAATACTAATGCCAACCCATCAATATGGGTATTTTTGGAATCGGGGTGAAGTCTAAGGATCATCCAAAATGGTGGCTGCCGGTTGAAGAAAATGTCGGAAATACAGTCAAATACCCATTAATATGGCAAATTTTTGAAATCAGGATGACGTCTAGAGGATGGTAATCGATCACCGACGCCATTTTGAAATCCAAGATGACAGCTTCATATTGTAGAAAAAAGGGAAATACTGTCAAATACCCATCAATATGGGTATTTTTAGAATCGGGATGACGTCTAGAGAATGAAAATCGATATCCGTCGCCATTTGAAATCCGTGATGACAGCTACCGGTTTAAGAAAAGTAGGACATTCTTAACTAATGAAATTGGGTTGTTAGCGGAATGCTTAAATAAAACAGCAACAAAGGTTATATTCCATTTAATTCCACTTAATTAGTTTCGGTATCTATGACACATGCGTATTTCGACTACAATGTGCATTCTTCATCCGAGTCATTATCACTAACCTTTTTTGCTGTTTTATTTAAACATTCCGCTAACAATCCAATTTCATTACTTCATTATGATGGCTACCAAGTCTTTGGAAATTTTTCCTTAATAGAGAGTTGTATAGATTTTTCTCCTTAATTTTATTTTAATCTTTGTTTTTTTTAATTAGGTACGTTCCGATTCCACACATTGTAATTTCATTTTTATACCTGTGATCTTGACATTCTTACCTCGGGGATGAGTATTTAAGGGGATTAGATTTTCATAATCCATTAGTGTGAATGACCAGGGAATCAAGGAAATACCCAGATTGCAGGGAAATGTTGTTTCTAAAATCAATAGCCACCATCTTGGATTCCCAAATAGCGGCAGGCATGCCATCCCTGTTCCGAAAATATCCACATTGCAGGGTAATCTTAGATTTTCAAATGGTGGCGGACATCAATTTTCGACAGTTTTTCTTAAATCGATGGCCACCATCTTGGATTTCATAATGGCGGCAAACATCGATTTTCGATCTCTATACGTCATCCTCATTCCGAAAATTCACATATTATAGGGTATTTGATTAGCTTTGTCTTAAATGGGGAATTTTCAGTGACGGCAGCTGATGATGATGATCTGAGATTATCGCTATTTCATATGATCATGATCTGTTACACAAATGATAATCGCATAATCGTTTCCAGAACTGTTCATTGTGATTTATGGATTTGTACTAATCATGAGTGTAACCAAAATGAAAATGCCATTATCTTTATCTGAATCTTTCATTTTGTTTCCCTGGGAATGACACTGATGAAGACTGCACATTGTATTCGAAATACGTATCTGTCATAGATACCAAAATGAATTAAGTGGAATCAAAAGAATGATAACCCTTTTTCCTGTTTTATGGGAAATTCTATCAAATACTCATACAATCGATTTTTTTAGAATGCGGGTAACGTCTAGAAGACGAACTTCGATGTCTGATGCCATTTTGAAATCCAAGACGGCGGATTACGATTTGAGGAAAAGTGTTAAATACCCTAAAATATGAGTATTTTCAGTACGGGGATGATGTCGAGGATCGGTGTCAGACGCCATCTTGAAATCAAAAAAGGGTGACTTCTGGTTTCAGAAATGCTCAAGATGGGTATTTTAGAAATCCCAGTAACGTCCAGGCCAGGCCAGAAACCATTGTTTGACGCCATTTTAAAAACTACCTAATATACCAAGTATGTTATCTAGAGGCCGGAAATCGACGTCCGATGACATCTTAAAATTCAAGATAGTGGCTTCTAATTTCAGAAGAAGTGTCAAATACCCCACAAATCTAGATAGAGCTGGAATTAGGGCGTAACAGCTTTTGTAAACAATGACTTCTCTCGATGATTTCTAGAAAGCCAAGACTCACTCACTCAAAGCAATGTCACCATCGGGTAGGGGAAGACTTCCCCTT